ATGTAGATAATTTTCTAAGACCATATAATTAAAAAAAATAGAAATAGCTTTCTAATGTTTGAGAACTTGTAATAATTCCTGGGATCTTGATTTTTCTTGTTTAACTGTACCAATAGGCAAAATTCTTTCCTTTTATGCATTTGATTGTACTTACATACATTAGTGGCATGGAGTCCATCTCAGTGTCTCCAGAGTTCGGCACATAGAATACAGGACTAGGCCTTTTCAGATACGTAGAAATAACAGGGCGATAGGAGCAGTGACCATGTAGTGCTTCTTGGGATTTAGATTTTAAAGAAATGGGCACACTGCATTCTTCCCCAGAAATGCCTCTATAGGCACTAAAATCTTCATTCTTTGAGGTTTAGAATATGCTTTAGAATATTTACTAGTACTTTACTATGAGTGTTGATTGGTTTGCTGTTCATTTATTCAGAAAATATTGAATGAGTAATAAGGCTTTGTGGCATTGTATCTGTCACCAAATTCTTATGAAATTTTAATTCTCTGTGGGGTAATATGATTAAGTAAACAAAATATAATGCATTTATATTTAATAGTAACTAGTCAGGAAAATAAAATGACAGCATGGCTATATAGCAGCTGTAGTGTTTTAGATTGAGTGCTCAGGGACAAACATTTATTTGGGTGAGACCTAGTTTAGTAACCACTAAAGCTATAAATAACCTTTTTTTGTAATGAATTTTTTCTTCAGAAATAATCTACAGGGTTAAATACTAATATTTTTTATTTGTCAGTATTTTACGTATTTGAGAGCATCATGTTGCTGGATGAATCATAATGGCTAAAGCAATGCTGCCCTCTGGTGATAATTTAGTAGTATGCCAGCTGTATTTTCGCAATTCTAAAGGGCATATGTACGTTTTATTTTGTGGAGTTTATTTTTGGAAAATAGATGTCTTTTGTCAATTGCTTTGAGTTTAAGAGGCTTCTATGATTATAATCCATTTAAAAGTCTTTTTTTTTGGTATCAGATGCTTTCACTGTTTCTGTGTCAAAGAACATAATTGTAGGAAAAATTAAGATAAAAAATTAAGATAACAGTTTTCAGAATTGAAAGCAGCTAATGGTGTACCAGAGTTGGGCAAGGTGAATTGCTAATACAAGGGAAAATATCTAAGACTTGAACTTTTTCATGAGAACATTTTCCGTTCCAAAATGCTTATTATAAAACAAAGTAGAAAATTTTTAAAAAAATGTTTTTTGAGTTTAAAGATAAATGACAGTTTTTAAAAACAGTCACACTGTCGCACTGTCCTCCTTTTGTTCCTGGATTTGCTCGAGCGGGCCCAGTAATGTCTCCATTGTGAAACTTGTTGTTACTGTGTTTGGCATATTGAATTTATTATGGGTAGTGTGCCAGGCCTTGCTGTGAGGGTGAGATACTCGGTAACTTGCCAGGCTCTCCGAGAGAGGAGAAGAAATTGAACCCGGGTTGGCCACGTGCAAGGCAAACGCCCTACCTTCTGTGCTATCACTTCTGCCTTTAAAAACTATACATTATTAATAAAACTTATTAATTAATATTAATTAAACTTATTAATTAATATACATTATTAATAAAACTTTATATTGAGCAGGTAATAAATTTCTATTTAGAAGTAGCCACATGCAGGGAAAATATATATATTTTCTATAGGTCAGTATAGCAGCCCTGCAATCTATACTACCACACTGACCCCCAAATTTTTAAATCTTTATGAGGTAAACTTTGATTTGTATGACTAGTCGTATGTTTTAGAGATACTGCTCCACCAACAAAGTTGTCAGTATCCTTCTACCCAGGACCATGTTTTTCAGTTCTTTAACCAATAGGTTATTCTTTTTTTTTTTTTTTTTAGATTATAATTTTATTTTTAGTACATGGACTCTAGAAGGCTAACCTTACTACTTGATTGCCAGAAAAACCCAATTCCTTTTTTTTTTTTTTGTCACATGTGGCAGTGCTCAGGGCATACTCCTCTTTCTGTGCTCAGGGATCACTCCTAATGGGTCTCGGGGAACCACAGGGGATGCTAGTGATCAAATTCAGGTTGGCTGCATACGAGGTAGACACCTTAAATAGGTTATTCCTAAAATAATGTTTTTCTTAGTAATGGCTTGAGGTTTTTTTGTTTGTTTGTTTTTTATGGATTTTAAAAAGTATTAGGTAGCTAGCAGTTAAGAATAGTTTTGCTTTGTTTTTTAACCTCCGGGAAAAATCTGTTACAACTGAAATCTATGGTATAACTTTTTTTCAAGGTCCTTGATTGTGTCAAGGACCCATTATTTATTTCTGTTCTTATAGTCACCTCAGTGAAATAGGATTCATAAAGACTGATAATTGCATATATTTTTAGTTGAATTTTATCAGCAGATCCAGTTCTGAATTCACATTGCATGGTCTAATCATTATGTGCTGATTGTACTTTAAAATGCAGATGTATAATTTAGTTTTGAATGCCCCTTAGTAATTTTTTAGTCGTGGCATAAATTACAATGGATGGTCTGAAATAATCTTTGACTAAAGATAACATAGGTGGAGAGATTGTGTAATTTATATGGGTTCCTATGTACATTTCACAAAAAGTTACAAAACATACCTAGAATTTTTTTTAACATCTTTTCTTATCTGTATGAAACTGCATGGTCTCTTTCATGCTTAGCTGAAAGTATTAAATTAATATCCTTTTATGAAGATGGGCTCTACTTTCAGTAATATGTTTATAAGATCATATTAATTGTAAGCACTGAGTATGCAGATTCTCGTTGATAGAATTATCAAGTACTAAGCATTGCTTTTATTAGAAAAGGTGATTTGCACATTGACATCAGAGTACATCATACATCAGAATTCAATGGCAAAAATAAAGGTTTCTCTAGATGTGTTTGAGATCATTATATGCAAATAGCTTGTCTTTCTTTTGGTATGAAAGAAGAAAATCAGACCTTCATTGGAAGGGATGCCAAATCTTGAGTTATCTCATTCATCAGTGATTCTTATGTTACTTACATTTTGCACCAGCCTTACTTCTTACTGATATAGGCTCTATTTATATTGTCTGTGTGGCATTTTCTCGTGAGAATATACTTGAGAAATACAAGGTCTCTTAGGGACCTAAGTGGTTTTTTTTTTTTTTTTTTTTTACCTAGGAATAAAACTCAGTATATATTTTTTGAAGCTTGCACAGCGGGTAGATTGTTTGCCTTGCACGTGCCTGACCCAGGTTCGATTCCTCCGCCCCTCTTGGAGAGCCCAGCAAGCTACCGAGCGTATCCTGCCCATAGGGCAAACCCTGGCAAGCTGCCCATGACATATTCGATATGCCAAAAACAGTAACAAGTCTCACAATGGAGATGTTACTGGTGCCCTCTCGAGCAAATCGATTAACAATGATAGGACAGTGCTTACAGTGTGTATATTTTTTATTGACTGTTAACCTGAATCTGAATTTTGTTGATTTTGTGTATTTGGGGGCTATAGCTTGCAGGACCGTGCAGGGCTACTCCCTGCATAGTGCTTATGGGCCATTCCTCAGGCTTCCCAGGGACACTTGGTGCCAGGAGTTGAACATGTGCTTCATGTGAACATGTGCTCCCCGTCAACATGTGCTTCGCTGGCCCTTTGAGCCATTTCCTGCATCTGATTGTAATTACAAAACTGGATCACTTTGTCTTGTTTTGTATTGTTTTTTTCTTTCTTTCTTTCTTTCTTTCTTTTTTTTTTTTTTTTTTTGGCTTTTGGGTCATACCTGGTGATGCACAGGTGTTACTCCTGGCTCATGTGCTCAGGGGACCATATGGGATGCTGGGAATCAAACCAAGGGTGGCTGTGTGCAAGACAAACGCTGTACCTGCTGTGCTATCACTCCAGCCCCCTAAAACTGATCAATTTGATTATGCAGTTTTAAATGCCAAGCATAATTTTTACCTAAATTAAGATAAATAATGATAAGCATAACCTCTTGAACCCTTAAAGAATGAAAAAGTGCTGACCGTGACATTCTTGTTGTGGTTCAGGTATTTTTCCTCTTCCAGTTTGTAAATAAGGTGGGAACATTTATTGAAGTAGTAATTCTAGATTTATCTGCCTTGGGGATCTTATCTAGTTCTTAATGAAAAAAAAATCCCCCTCTATTTAGAATCATTACTGTTTATGGAGACGTTACTGGGCCCGCTCGAGCAAATCGACGATTAACGGGAGGGCCTTTACCTTTACCTTTTCCTTACTGTTTTTCTGACAGTGGTTTCAACAATCATATAAGTATCAGGAAGAAAGAGACAGAACAACTAAGATGAACTTTTAAAAAATATGCTAGTGCTTTGAGGTAACTCAAAGTTGAATGTGATTGCTGTCACTGTGTGGTCCCCATGGTCCCCAGGCACCGCCAGGATGGGCTGGCGCCATAGGGCCCAAACAGCAGCCTGACGCCAGCTCTGAACTCTCCCTGCACCAGTAGGCCGAGCTTCTTGGGTGGTGGCCCCTGGGTCTCTGAGTACAATTAGGTGGCCCCAGTGGAAAAATAAAATTAAGGGCTGGAGAGATAGTACTGGGGTTAGCACCACATAGTCACCCAAGGAGTGAACTTTGAGCACTACCAAGTGTAAACCCCCATGCCATTTGCCCACCTAAAATAAGATCAAGTTTTTTGAAAGTATGTCATTGCCCGAGTTTAACTGTACCATAATAAATGTGGTAGATTCGGGTTCAGAGCTCTGTAGCTTCTGAGTCTTGGTTAAAGAAACCTTTTCAGTTCAGTAGCTTTGTTTTCCTTTAATGTTGCATAGAATGCCTTTCTATTCCCAAAAGGCACATTATAAAACAGTAGTTAGCACTCTGCTATAGTTTGACTAATATATACGCTTCCTTGGCATGTTTGCTTTTTCTTGCATTCTAGATTGTTGCTTTTTATGATCATTTAAATAACTATGATAGATTCAACCTTACTTGTGACAGTTTTCTACTTTTATGTAAAAATAATACTTTTCTCCATCTGCAGGTGCTGCTGTTTCTTCAAACGAAGGAAAAGGAAAACCATACAGCGCCACAAATGACTCTGGACACAGACAGATCATGGGGAGTTTCTTACGTGTTCATCTGCTGTCTTGTGATTAATATCATCTCTGTAGTGACCACATATATTTTCAAGGACTCACTCAGAAACAAAAATATCATACTTTCATACTTCATTTTGTGGTTGTCTTACATTCATTCCCCCACCCCTTAATTTAACTTTCATGGAAGCTTTAAAGTTTTGTCAAAACATGAGTGCTTTGCCCATCAGTAAATGGAACGGACCAATGAGGTGGTATTGATGAATACAGTTTAAAAAACATTTTCAGAAGCTCTCCTGTTGTAGAAAGCAGTACGGTAGCATTGTGTCAACCAGTTCTATACCTAATCTGGTTCTTCTATAACTTCAGCAAGAGCATAATCCAAGAGCAGTTTTCTCTCAGTGGGTAACACATCAGAGAAAACAGAGTTGCCCAAACATTTAAGAGGTTATTTATTGAGAAGCTTCTATTTGAGTGTGACATCTGCATTGATTTCAGTATTACTGATGGTACTGCTATTCATGAGTCATATTAACATTATCTCTGTGAAATCATGGTACAGTCACTGCCCAGAGGTACTTAGGACAAAGTTCTATGGGTTTGGCAGATGGTAGGTGGTAAAACCAATCACATGTAGTGTGGTAGCTAGTGAGCTCTGCTTTTGTTGCACCACTATGTGAAGTACAGTGTTGCCGAAGTGGCAAAAGCGCTTATTTTTAAAAACGCAAAATATTTGTATAATGTAACTTTATGCTTCCAGATAATAATGTATGTTAGGCAGCAAGAAATGAATACTTTGAGAAATTGAGATATGTTGGAGTTTTTAAAAACAATACACTAAGGAGAAGAAATAAATGTGAATCTCATTGCAATGTATAAGTTAAGTCTAAGGAGATCCCCCAGAAACCTACTGCAGAATGATTACATACTTTTCTCAGCAGAAAACTTTGGATGTGCCATGCAATGGTGTCTGTTTATTAATGATTTGCTCTTTGATAAAAAAAAATAGACTCCCTCCACCCCCACCCCAGCAATAAAAACTGGGTCACTCTATTGCCCTCTGCACAATAGTCTCTTGTATTCAACTTTGCTGGTTCTCTGGAATTTTTCTACTTTTTAGCATAATTTTGATGATTGAAAATTATCTTGGAGAGAATGGGTCAGGTGCTTTGCCTCCATAGTCTTTTGAAGTGCCTGTATATGAACAAGTAACGGTTTTGTAAAAAAAGAAAAAAAAAGAAAAAAAAAAGAAACCCATTCCACTTTTCAAGTATGCTTTGTTTTAAGCCATACAGACACAGGTGTGCTTTTGCCACATTAGACTAGCCAGAATCTTCCAGAAGAGTTAAAACAAAATGACTGGCTAGAAAGATGGTCTCATAGTCACCTTTCATTTATAAACTTGTTACTTAACTCCTTCCACACAGCCTCTTTGTCTTTAAGTGCCTGCCCCCAGGCATGCTTATTTATTTTTATTGTCTCAAGGTAACATTCAAAATGTATAATTAAATCTACATTTTTTTGACTTCATTATTTCATCTACAGGGATTTAATTGTACTTTGTAACTTATTTTTCATGTTAGCCAAAAGTTTCATTGTTTCTGATGAATTAGGCACCCATTCAAATATTGTTAATCAGAACATTGTTTTTCATTGTTGCTCTGAATCCTATGAATTACCTTTTTAAGTTCTTGATTTTAATGACCTACACTCAGCCTAGAAAACATTTGCTGTATAATTTGGTCAACAATTTCCATTCTGTTTGTATACTGTCATAATGTCTTAAACTACAGGAGTCACATACTGAGTTTTTATTTTTGTTTGCTTTGAGCAAGGTAGATGGATGTTTTGGCCATTATAATGTGAAACCACTTCTTTCTTTACAGTATTTGACCAAATTTGTGTGTCTATGATATTTGTAAATACATGCGATATCTGTATTTCTTATCATAAGCCGATTTAGTTTTATTCTCAGTAGGGTTTTTGGACTGTACAGTGTTTATATGATCTGAACTCCTTATACATAAGAAGGTGTGTATATTAATTCAATTATGGACTTAAAATATTTTAAAAGTATAAATACCCTTATTTGCTGCAAAGACCAGTGTGTAGACATTTGCTTTTTAGCAATATTTTTAAGTGCTCCATTTTAATGCCAAGGAATAAGTCTATTGGCAACACAAACTGGTCAATAATAGGTAATGCAGGTATGTTCAGGTTAAGCCAACAATGTTTTGCATTTTTATGCTTCTTTTCTGTCAACACTAATGAAGTCAACATTGCCTGAATGTCTGAATAATGAAACACATCCCTGTTTAAAAGTATGTAACTGAAAAAGAAATAAAAATAAAGGTAGTTTTTTTAAACGTGCTCTTTCCCCTTTCCTCTAATCATGGGTAAATGATGCCACTCACTAATTTCAGATAGGATTGTTAAAAATTTAGTTCATTTAGTTTCATATATGTGAGAAATGGAAGTAAAGAGGATTTCTTTTTTGTTATTATTTTGCTTTCTTAGAACCCCATTGTGAAGAGAACAGACAAGGAAGGTATCTAAGCTTTTTAAAATGGAAGTTAATTTTTTTTACATAATTCTAAACAATTTCATGAATGTCTTTAATATACCATGGGAGATATATCATTTCATAGTTTTTAAATGAAGCATTGCTATTATTTCCATAAAAATGAAGCATTAATGAAATTTTAAGTGAATAAACTTAAAATTATATCAGTGGAGAGCATTGATTGATCTGTGATAGAATCTGTTTATGATTGTGCTTTAAGGGATTCTCTGAAATGATATTAATGGTGCTCTGCTTACTAAAAGATTCAAGACAAGGCAGAGCAGAAGACACCAAGCCCATGAATAGTGTGTTAAATACCAGCATTCATAAATAATAGAAACATTTGGAGATAAAATATAGTTCAAATACCCTATCTAGAAAAATTTTAAATCCATTCTAAATGATTGTATAGTCTTTTTTTTTTTTTTAACTTTTTCTGTGTGCCTTTTGCCTTCTAACTTGTTTTCATTAGCAGGGAAACTGGCACCCAGCAGCTTCGGATTTCTCTCTTAGGAACCTTAACAAAAATGAGTCACTTCAGCAGTTCCTGCAAAAACCTTAGACTGACATTTTATTCTTCCATTGGTTCACATGTCTTCACTTGAGCCATTTACTATGTCCAGTGCAAAACTGCTCTCCCAACAACTATGCTTGAATCATGGGCCCATTTTCCACGAATATGGTAGACTGAGAAATGAGGCAGGAAAGGATGTTATCCAAAAGGAATCAAAGTATATTGTTATCAGAAGGGGCATCACTAGATACCGTGCAGGCAAAGGTTTATGGATATCTAATGATATCTATCATGATGTGAAAAAACTAGACTAGAGTGAGTGCAAAGATAAATCCAGTTTTGAGGGATCACACCCAGTGGTGCTTGGGACAACCATGAACTTGGTACTGGAGATTCATTCCCAGCCTGTGCAGGGGACTATATGGTGCTATGAATCAAACCCAGGGCTCCTGTATCCACAGTGTGTATTCCAGCCCATGGAGCTATTTCTCTTTCAATAAGTAAAATTCTAAATTAGAAAACAGTTACCGTTTCTTTAGAGACTTTATAAATTTATGGAATTTATAATTTACTACTTATAATTTATTATTAGAAATCACTTATCACTTATTTGCTTGAATGGATACACTTGAAAAGTGTTTAAACTCAGGTAAAAATACGTTGATGTTATTCTAAAAACATTTTTTAGGTTTTTAGTGGTGTTCTTAGCACTTTGGCACTGTCCTCCCCTTGTTCATCAGTTTCCTCGAGCAGGCACCAGTAACTTCTCCATTGTGAGACTTGTTACTGTTTTTGGCATATCGAATAGGCCACAAGGAGTTTTCCAGGCTCTGCCATGCTGGCAGGATACTCTCAGTAGCTTGCCAGGCTCTCCGAGAGATGGAGGAGGAGGAATCGAACCTGGGTCGGCCGTGTGCAAGGCAAATGCCCTACTTGCTGTGCTATCGCTCCAGCCTGTTCTTAGGTTAGTAGGGTTAAATATAAGTTTTTCTCCTACAGTTTACTAGTAAATGGAATATAAAACTTTGCTGTTGTTCAGGATAACTAGTTTCTTGTCTTTTTAACTCCACAGACCTATATTTTGTTGTTCTATTACAAGCCCTGTAGATAGACGTACCCAAAGAAAGGATTACATATTATCAGTAATAATATCACAGTATGAAAAAAATATTTTTTTAAGAAAGTATAATTAATTTTTTTTGTTTGTTTTTGGGCCACACCCAGTGGTGCTCAGGACTTACTCCTGGCTATGTATTCAGGGATCACTCCTGGCAGAGCTCGGGGGACCGTATGGAGTGTCAGGGATTAAACCTGGGTCAGCTGTGAAAGGCACGTGCTCAGCCTCTGTAATATTGTTCTCCCTCCCAAAAGGAATAATTATTTACTAGCAACTTTTAGCATATTGTGATTTTTACTTCATAGACACCCGCCCCCACTCCCACTCCCCCTATACTCCTTTAGAGTAGGAGCTAGCAAACCTTTTTTGAACTTGTGGGTAAAAGGCAAAATTTGTGTTTATTTTCTTGTATAATGAAAAAGGGAATACATTTTCACAGGTTTCTTATTGCTAAAGTTCAAAATGTATAACATTCACGTACAACATTTTTTTTTAAATATGAGTACCAGTTGTTGAGTTATTTTGGAGGGTTAATATTTTACTTAATTGAGGTTTGAAGTACATTGCAAATATTCATGTGGTATGCTGGTTCATAGTGCAGTTTTATGTGTTTCATCTTTGAAATGTCTTCAAGTACTCTTCAATGTATCAGTTCTCAATTGTATAGTTTTAGTTTTACGTATTGTTTGGTAGGTATCTATAGAATTTCATTAAATTCTGCCTTTGATATTTGTTTTTTTGGCATATTTTACATTGCAGGTTAGTCAGTTTCTATTAAGTTTAGGTGGTGGTTCCTCAATTGTACACTTCAGTGGATTTTGAAACATGAAGTTTCCTTTGCACGTGCATTGAGGTACCCAAGTGTATTGGAATGGTAAATGATTTTTGAAATTATATTCACTGCAAACTTGTATGAAAATAGAGATCTTGCTGCTTTTTAAAATTTTCAACTGCTTGGGTTGTGTGTAAACCAGCTTGACAGTTCTTGTCTTTAAATGTTATTTGACATAATGTATGTTTTTTACTTTATATTAATACCATCTATGCCTTATGTAGTATTTTGTCTCACAACTTTAAATGAACATTTATTACGAATTTTGTCAAATCTGCAGCAATAACAAACTCATTACCATTTAGTGATTGTAAGTAGTGGGTGAATTTGATTCTTATTTAGAAAACAAATTTTCCTGGTCCTGAGCTAAATGATTATAATAAAATTTCATCACTGCCATCGAAAACTGCTGTCAGGCAAGTTAAGAATTTAGTCTCTCTTTCTGACAAAATGAAAGTGTTGATTAAAATTGAATGAGTGAAACCCAGCAGTACAGATGGAAATATTTTCCACAGAATATCTGCTCATATATTGATATGTCTAACCATTGAGTTTAAGCAAAAGCACATTTTCATAAGCTTTTTAAGTTTATGTGCTTTTCTATGCCCCACACATCTACTTGTATACTTGTTGCAACACATCTAGGCACTTCCACTTGACTTTTTACTGAATTAGTGTTTTGTCAGATTCCCTTTTGTTTTGGTTTTTATTTGGTTTTCTTCCTCATGCCACAGTGCTTGAGGAGAAACTCCTGGTTTGGTGTTCAGGAGTTGCTCTTTGGCTGTTCTCTGGGGACTCTTTGATGTTGGGAGCAAAACTCAGTTCCTCTCAGGCAAAGTATGTGTTCTCTCTGCCTTTGAACTCTCTCCCCAGCTCTCAAGCTCTTTGGAAAAATTACTCCTTGTGGTTGTTTTAATGGACAACATCAGAGATTAATATTTTTTAATAAGGACTTTTTAAAACTTATTTTTTACTCTGTGAATTATAGCTATTCATTATTAAGTTTCAGGAATACAGTGTTCCAAAACCAGTCCCTTTACCAGTGTCCATTTTCCTCACCCAGTGTCCCCAGTTTTCCTTTCACCCACCAGCTGCCTCTAGACCAGACACTTTTTTCCCTTTTCCATTGTCTTAGTGTGCCATTCTGGTCAGAGACTAATTCTTGAGTCAATTCAAGTTCATCATTGACTGACTTTTTGTTTGTTTAGGGATGACATCCAGCTGTTTTCAAAGCTTATTCCTGGCTCTGTGCTCAGGGGACCATATCTCAGGACAGGATTGAGCCTGGGTCAACTGCATATGAGGCAAACTACTTGCTCAATTATTGCTTTGATCCTCAGCATTGACTTCTCCAATAAACAGCAACTGGGCAGTGTGGGTGACATCTGTAAATCCATCAAAGTCGTTTTAGTTGTTTGCTGTCTTAGTTGACTTTTCATATGTTCTTCAGTCTTTAGAATTTGTCTCTGTCAGTAATCTAAAACCACTTTTTTTGGACACGCTTTCCGACTTCTGCAATTGTACACCATTTAATTACCTTTAATCTGTCATTAGTAAATAACTTTCTTTGCTAAGGTTAACAAATGAGCCATTTTGGTTGTACCCTTGTTCTCATTTTGGTGTGAGAATGCATTCTACTGTGATGTTATCTGCTGTTCATTTCTCTCTCTCATTTTTCTAATTGTCCTGACTATTGCTTTCCTTTGAGTTGGGGAGATTGAAACGAGTGCATAGTTTGGTAGCGTGAACATAAATTAAATACTTTTAGCACAACAAAAGTGTCATTTCACAAAAAGCGATGCATTGTGACATAATTGTATAGTAAAATAATCCACATTCTACTGTGCCTCAAAAGCATGACACACTCAGTTCACCCCTTTTCCCCACAATTAGTATACATTAGTAATAAAAAGTTGTAAAATGTATGACAAAAAATGTGTGCCACTTGAAATGCTGCCCGCTCATAACCACATCCCTTGAGCTTTTTGGTGTGTTGAGTGGCAGTGTGAAGATGCAGGAGTATGTAGTCTCTGTCGCCACCCTCGTGCCACCTCTGTCTCACATAAGCAGCTATAGACAATATGTAAGTGAATGACCGGCTATGTTCCAGTCCAGTATTCTGTGTGAACTCAGTGGCTTGAATTTTATAACTATATGTGTTGTGAAGTACTCATTTGATACCCCCCCTACCGAACTATTTAAAGTGTAAATAGCACTCTGGGTTTGTGGAAATTATAAAAAATGAAGGGCTAAATTTGATTTATAGATCATTGTTTGCCAATCTCTGTTCTAAATTACAGTGGAAATGGTTGAGATAAAAAATACATATTTTATACTAGG